CTTCTCTTCCTTCTCCTTTCTCTCACTTTTCTTCTGCTTTTGTAAACCTAAAATCTATTAGGATTCAAGACTGATTACAGTCTTGATCTTCTACTCAACCCTTGAAGAGGCATGAGCTGTGACTCCTCCCAAACCAATAACTAGTTACAAACTAAAAGAGACACAGATTATAACTGAACCCAGTACAGTATATTCCTATTTGCCCCTTATGTGGCTAAACAGTCAGCCAAGACATTTTCTGATCTCCCAACCCATTGTGTCATCAAATCATGCCTCTGGTGATCTACTTAAATTTCTTAATTTCATTCCTGAAAACCCAAGTAACCGAGTCTGGATCCTGCAACCACCCTACAAGAGTAACTGATTTGCAATCTGAATTCCTTGTAAGGCAGCAAGTATTCAACCCTATTAGAGTCTCCTACCCACACCGCTCCTGAGAACAAAGCTAATATATGTCTATCATTGTCTCTCACTACCCCTCGTGTACCAGAGGAGCCTGGATTACCTTTACCATCAAAGTTCAGTTTCACAAAACCTGTTGGAGGAATAAATTTACTTGATCCTTATTAGGACTACTGTTAGCCACCACGATCCAGTGTCTCCAAATATCATCAAAGGAGAATTGTCAAATCCATCCAGTTTTTATCCAATGTATTACCATGGTCAACACATTCTTTGAGTTTTTGTGGGCTCCTTTCCCTTTCTTTTTTTTTCAATAAATCTCCTTTCCCTTTCTTTTAATACTCTTGTGTTCTTCTCTTCCCAAATAGTCCATATTATTGCAGCTCTCGTACATCTCCATATTACTCTTCCTGTTCTTTTACCCCGAACAAAAGTAGATGGGTCAAATAGCATATGCATCTTTGAAGGCAAGTTCCACTTGTACCCAAACAAAGAGAAAAACCAATCCCATAATTCTGCGGCAAGAGAACAGAAATAAATAAGTAATAACAATCATCACCATTGGATTTGCGTAGAATACACCAGTTTGGGGATAAACACAGGAAGGGTCTTCTCTTGTTATTATTTAGTATTATGTATTTTTCTATAGATAAATTTTATGAAGTTACATTTCCTCAAACTTTAATCAAGTCTCCCACAGGGGCAAGAAACAATTCTTTTTTTTTTTTTTGTTGAATGCACATTGAATGTCCATATTATTGATTTAGAGATGAAAGTAGAAATTTCTGGCTGTTGTCTTCATTTTTAATATGGTATGCACTGTTCTATTTTCATCTGCATGAAATGCCTGGGACCTTTTGTTCTTTGTATTATATGTTCAAAATTTTTGTTGCCGAGGACCTTAATGTTATCAAAAGCTAGTAGCACGTGTACTAAATTTTATCTGAATCTTCATGCCTAGTACTAATTATGGGCCTCTATGTTTGTTATGATTTCAGCAATATTTTTCCTTGCAGAATGTACAGAAATTCATCAATTTATTGTTCAGATCATGGGATTTTTGGTTTGTCTTCATTTTTCATTAGTTTCAAATATTCATGCAAGATCCATCATGCATAGTGTCCACTGTTTGTTTAATGCATTATTCTGAAGAAAATATAATATCCTGGTTTTGATGCAGAATAACATGATCAGTGCTGGTAAAGTAAAAGGACATTGGCACATTTCATAAGAATTTTATGAAATTCATTCTTGAATGAATAAGCCCAAGAGTTTTCCCTTTAATTGTTGGGGCAGTTAATTAATTATTTCTGTCAATAAGGCCCTCTGGTTTTCTGAAAGGCAAGCAGGGAATTAAGGGAAGGCATAACAGGAATTAGGTACTTGGGGGGATTTTGCTAATATGGATTGTTTTGTTTTTCAAAGCAAAAATAACTGCTATATAAGCAAATACAATTGTTTTGCTAATGTGGCAGTTGCTCTTGTTCTAAAAAACAAAACCATACATATTGAACAGCACCCTCCTAATCGATTCAAATACAAGCCTTATATGGTCAGATGGCCTTGAAAGCACCTTCTCCTCTCTGGGGCTGACTTCTTATATACCTAAGAGGATTACCATGGAAAACATAAATATATGGGGCAATATTTTATTTGGAATCAATAGCAATAAGACCAGCTCTGTACTTTCTTTTGGTACCCTTCTTTTCCACAAAGTTCCTTTTTATCAATTAAACTATGTGCTTAAAGTTCCTTTGCTTTGATCTCCTTTGAAAGGACCAACATTGAAACTGAGTTGATGAATTGCCATCTTCATTCATGGCCTCTACCTCTCTCTGTAACTCAAGTATTACAACATATGCTAAACTGGTTTTTGCCAAGTGCTGCTCAGATTGATGGTCGTTAGACATTTGTTGTCTGGCTCATCAACTGATTCTACTTGTCTAAAGAGATTCATCTACACAAAGAAAAATTAGTTGTCTCATTCAACCATCCTTTTTATCCTGAGTTTGAGGTAAGCACAATTTATTGGTTGTGTTTCTTTGGTCAGACAAAGTGGTGGATTGGCAATATTTCATGTATGGATTCATAGTGAAACATCTTATTCAGTCTTGCAACTGTAACTTCCCCTTTACTTCATAGGCAACTGACCATTTACTTTTATTTTATAAATAAAAACATGGTTCTCTTGAAATGGCAAAGATGTTAAAATTTCCCCTCGTTGAGTAATTCAAAACAATATTGTGTGTTGTTCAAGTGGACCTAATCCTGTTGTTATGATTCTATGGTAAAAAGAAAAAGATCATATGATTGTTGTGATGTTCTATTACAAGTTTGATATCTTTTTTGTTCCTTTTCTTGTAATCTTATCCAAATCTAGTTGAGTGGGGCAAGGAGACTAAGGGATGCCATAGTACTTGGTTATCAACTACAAAGAGTTCCTGGTAGAGATATTTTCATCCCAGATTGGTATGCACTTGCTGAAAATCAACTTGGTCTTCGCACTGCATCTCCAATTTCTGAAATGAGTCGGACAAGCTCACTTGCAAAGTCGTGAGTCTCTGATTATTCTTTTCATTTTTCTGGATCAGTAACTAAAATTTATTAAGATTATTCTTTTCTCTTTCAGGTTCTCAATGAATATTTATGCTATGAAAATGTTACATGTGTACTTTGTAGTGAACCTTCTTTCTTTTATTTTTCTAGATGCACGGAAGATTTTGAGATTCTTCATGGAGATCTTCATGGTCTTTCAGATACAATGAATTTCTTGAAAAGCTTGGCAGAACTTGATACTATACATGACTCAGGAAAGAATACTGAGAAGCGTCGCATGAGGGAGCGTTTGGCTGCTTCTACGCTTTTTAACTGGGAGGTGTTTCTCTTTTCATGTGGTGGCAATTGAAATTTCCTGTTACAGTATTATTTTATTTATTTTATAAGCAAATAATTGAAATGAATCTATCTCGTTATCTTGTATCTGCACGTGTATCAAAGCATGCTCTATGATTTAAAGCAAGATCTGTCAATATCTTCACAACAATCTAATACATGGTGCTGAAAAATGAACTTCGGAATTCATGTTGATTATATCTTTTCAGTGGAAACCTAGATCTGCTAATGCTATTGCTCATATCCTGCATTTGTTATAGGTTTTGGTGTATGGGGATGTGTTGTTTTGGGTTGGGTCAGATATTTCTGTGCCAATTCCTGTATTTTTACCATGTTCTGGTGTTTGTATTATGACCTTTATTTTTTAAAGGGATGAGATGCTTAATTTTATTTTATTCTTTTCAATGGACCTTTTCTCATCTGAATATGATTTAGCATGCATTGCAACAGGGGTATAATCATACAGTGACATATGTGAACAAGTGGCAGTATATGCATATTATTATTTTGGTTTGTAGTATGATGGTAGTTAAATTTCAGATTTGTTAACTGTATTCCCAGTTTCCCATCTGCGCTGTCTGCCAGGATCTGAATAATAATAGATTTTAATGGAAGGGCCTCTATCTTGTCTTTTTAATCAGAATTTGGTTCTATTTCATACATCAATTTTTTATACTAGCAAGTGTGCACGTGCTTTGCACATGGAAATTTTAGATGACAATGATGATGGTGATAAAGGGTGTCCAAAATTTTTATAATTTTTTATATTTATGTGCATGAAAATAATTCTCCCACTTATTTTTCTTTAATATGCTGGGTAATAATATTAGAGATGTGCCCAAATATTTTAATGAGAAAATGGGATTCAATACCTTAAGTATAAGTTTTAGAGATAGTGAATTGAATGAGGTGAAAAATAGTAGTTCAAATCATATTTTCTGCCCCCACAATCAGAGGGACTAAATACAAAAAATAGGGTATCTTAGTGAAAAAGGCGTTCCACAAGCTCATTCATATTTTTAACATATAGTAGTTTAGATATAGATGTCTTCAAACTTTCTACAAATTTTTATATTTCTATGCATGTAAATATAATTCTTCTTATTTATCACACTTATTTTTGTTAAATGATGAATATGCAATATTAGATATATGCCCAAATGTTTTCTACAAAATTTACGTATCTTTTCTTTTTTGTGTTTTATATTTTTTTATTTTTATTATTTAATTATGAATCAAAGGTTGACACATTTGACTTGAAAGTTGAATTGTTGACCTGTGACCAAATAGTAAAACGATTTCATTTTTTTTGGTTAGGTTTTAAATTTTTTATTTCATTTTCATATTCAATAAGAACTCTTCCTAATAAAATTTTGGCATATGGTAATGTAATCAGAATTTCAATTTCTAAATTTATTTATCTATGAAAGCAAGAGATGGAAAGTGTTGTTCTAAATTCTGCCTTATTTCATGAGATCTAGAAGCACTTTTTCAACCTTTTCTGTCCAAGGGTGTTTCCTTCGCACTTGTTTTGAAGTTGACAAAGAAGGCCTTCCTTATAAGTTGTCACTCAATCAAAATGATGTAACAAATATGAAGCTTTATTTTATCTTCACTGGCTTTTTTAGGTATAACCTTCGCCATGGCATCATAGCTAAGCTCTTCATGCTTCCCACATGAATGAACATCTAGCAAACTTTTTGCTTTATGATCAACAAATGGACTTATGAATTCTTGTTTACTACACTTATTTTTCTTTAATATGCCCAATTTTTTCTACATTTTTTTGTAAATTTTGTATTTATTTCTATTTAAAAATTTATTATTTAATTATGATACCATGGGTTGACCCATTTGGCCCAAATAGTTGAATTGCTTACCCACTACCTGGATGGAAGAATGGTTTCATTTTTGGGTCAGTTAAGAAAACATGGATTTTATATTGTTAAAACTGTTGCATATAGATCTAATTTGTAGGATTTATTAATGAGCAATACCTTAAATATAGGAGTTAATGAGAGAGAATGGGAGTTAATACCTTAGATATAAGATTTATGAGAGGGAATATAAATGAAATGTAAAATAGTAATTCAAATTACACTGAAATGGACTAAAATAAAAAACAGGGGTTTTCTAGTCAACGAAAAGTTCCACACCCTCATTACTACTTTTAATGGTAGTATAGATATTTTTTTTGATCATCATAATGGTAGTATAGATATTACTAATATACTTTTACCTTCTCAAAAAAAAATGCTACATTTTGTTGATTGATTGCATCAAGTTCAGGAGTTAAGCATCTAGAATATGTTAACTATATTTGTTAATTTGTTATTTTTATCATCGCCAACTAAACTTGCCTATCTGGCAATATAGAATGCAAGTATGTGCATGGTATCTCTTCCTCTGTTCTTATCCATAGAATGACTATCTGGAAACCTCCTTCCACATAATCATGCACATCCCCATCTGTATGTAGCTACCAACTTTAAGCCTTGAATGAGACTTAGTAGTTCAGTCTTTAGGGAGTTGCCATACCCAACTGGTCCTGAAAAGCTGGGTAAAATGTTTTACCATTATTGTCTCTAACCGTTTCAATCTACTTGAACCAGGATACCTCCATTCCATTGGTCTTTGATGATTTCTAACAGAAAAACCAGCCATACTTTTCCATCCTTTTAACAGTTCATCAATTGTGACCCAATTAAACTCTTCACATACCAAATCTCGATGTACTATTATTACATGCTGAAGTGTATCAAGGAATAAACACCAAAGCATTTTGTTGCACTGTATAAGACTGCTATTTTTGTAGTTTATGGGGTCTGAGGAAGGTTGGATTAATAAGTTAATCATATGTAAAATCTATGCTGCCTCTAATATGAGATTGTGATAACTTGTCTCTTTGGCTTTGTGAAAATACTGTTGCCATAGTTCTAGTTTTCATTATTGAATTTCTTGTGTTTCAGGAGGATATCTTTGTAGCAAGAGCACCTGGGAGGTTGGATGTAATGGGAGGAATTGCAGATTATTCAGGAAGCCTTGTGTTGCAGGTTAATATGTAACTCTATTTCCCATATTCTCGGTCTATTTTTAGAGATTGCTAGCAAAATGCGATACATTGAATTTAGGATCAGGAATAAATGGGTTGAGCAGCATCTTGGCACAATGTTAATTGAAAATGCACAGGAAACATAATAATAATAATAATAATAATAATAGAAGAAACCTTGTGTGATTAGTGTTGGCCTATATACTTTGTGCTAAAAAAGCCTTGGAGAAGGTTTTTTGTGGTCAATATTTCAGAGTCCAGACTAACATCTTACAACAAGGATGTGTTGGTCCCCCTTCCGCATCATATGATCAAATTAAGCTTTAATGGGTGCAACATGGGCAACCCAGGGAAATCAGGTATGGAAGGTGTGTTTAGAAATCATGTCAAGATTATCTTGGCATTCTTTGGTCCAATAGGTTTTTTTTTTTTTTTTTTTTTTGATAAGTAACTGGAATTTCATTAAAGAAGGAACAAGTACATCAGATGAAACACACACACACACTAAAGATTAAAATGGTAGATGCCTAATCACTAAACAAATTATTCCTGTTAGCTCTAGATTTAGCTAAATCATCTACAATTGAGGTTCACACCCTGGGAATCCAGACTAAAGATACATTCATCAGTTCGGGATCTCTAGCCTCTGTTAAGTAATGTGCCAGCCTCCAAGGTCCACTATCCTTTTTTCTCAACCATTTGATTGTGTTTTATGAATCATCTTCGATGCTTAGACTTGAGATACCCAAGTCTCTAACAATATGAGTACCACGTCACAGCTAGCATCTTAACTTTAGTGGAGTCAGCACTCCCCATTGGGCCACTGAAAGTCCAGCAGATACAGTATGGAAAATAATGGAAGAGGATTTTGTAAGGGCTGAGCTACAAGTGGGTCTTCTAAGTATAGAAAATAATAGAGGATTCTAATGTTGTTATAAACTGGTTAAACAGAAAGGTCATGGAATCCAAGTCACCTAGAAGCCTAGTTCCTTATGGAACTAGGGGAGCAGCATTGGATGCCTTTGTTGTACATATTGAGAAATATTCTGATCCAATTGGGCATGGAAATGTACTGAGGTCCTCTCTGCCAATGTCTTACATTATTGTTCATCTTAGTCCTTAGAGAGTTGAGATTGTGTGTAACTTCCTTGTTGTGACTTGTAATAGGATGGATTATTTATGCTTCTTCTTGTCCTTGGTCCTAGTGGCACCATATGAAATAAGGTCTTTGCCTTTGAGAGAGAATTTCTTGTTCAAATGAATTCCGAGTTTGGCAAGTTTGAAGTAGAAGTAGAATAACTTGGCCAGTAGGGTTGGGCTGGAAGAATGTTTTGTACCAGGTTCCATATTACCTGGTTAGTTTGTATTTAATTCACCTGCTTCTTTGCTATTCAAGCCCATATGTCACCATAGGCATTCATGGTGTACTCTGAGTTTCCTTTTTTGTCCTAGGTAGTCCTGTATTCTGCATCTGTTATTTCCCCCTTGTTAATAAACCCACATTATCTTTGATAAAAAATGTCATTTATAGTACTTTCCTTCTAAAAAAAGTCTTTCTTTTTTAGGAAAAAAACATTTTATATATCTAATTGAGGGATTTCTTTTAACCTTTCTTCCAACATCTTTTCCTTTCCCTAAGGCTGTTTTTGTTCCTTTTTCAAGACACCCCCCTAAAAAAATCACCTTTCAGTTAGCCACAGAATCAGAAATATAGTTGGCATCCTACACATGTAGCCTAACCATGTTACATCTTATCTCTGAAATCATCATCATCATCATCAGCTAAGGCATGTCCTAACTATATGGGGTTGACTACATGAATCACGTTTCAACTTATTTTATGCAAAAGACGAGCTACATATTATCATTCAAATGTTATCCTTAAAAGTTCCCTTTTTTGTCATTTTTTGCCTCAAATATAACAGGAGGGTTGACCCACTTGAATTTTATTACTGCAAAGGAAAATTTCCTTTTGGAAGTTATTAGAATTGATGGAATGCTATGAAGTGGAAGTTGAAATTTCATATTTTTTTATTATCAAGGAACTTCTGAAGACTCCTTGTTTCAGCACATAATCAGCAACATCATTGGAAGGGGGCTCAAGTATAAAATGACCTTTACACAAGTGCCTTTGACATTGTTCATGACATTTCAATATAGAAGGAAATACCATTTTGACTTAGAAGAGTTTGCTTATTTATAATATCTTCATCTGCATGAATGCCTTATTATTCTTATTGGTATTTCCCATCACTAAACAATTCATGTTTTTTGGTGCCTCAGCTTTTAAATAAATTTAGCCACCTTCAAATTATTATGATCAAATCTCATGGAATTCACCTTTGGTAGGTCATGTTATCTCATAAGTATTGTAATGGTTTTGCTAATATGCCTTTTCCCTTAGATGCCTATAAGAGAAGCTTGTCATGTTGCTGTTCAGAGGATTCATCCAAGCAAACAGAAGCTATGGAAACATGCCCAAGCTCGGCGGAATGTAAAAGGGCAAGAATCAACTCCTGTTCTGCAAATTGTATGTAATTCCTGCTCAAACTACTTGCTGTTTGTGTGTCTCAACTTTTGTAGAAAAGATACTTCACTTGTGTTATTTTGCATTTACTTAACTTCTTTTTGAATTAAAATGTTTTCTTTTTGATAAGTAAACAAGAAAGTTTTATTAAAAAGAAAAGGCCATGACATGTACAACAATCCATGGGGAGGTCCGAGGTGCCATCTCCCCTAAACAACAATAACAAATTACAATTAAGCCCAACACAAATGCTCCCTATAAACCCAATTTTCTGCCTCCAGATACTTTAGCCAGTCTATCACCTTTGAGACCCCTTCAATGACCAATTTATCAATATTCATCTGTCTTGCCATCTGTTCCCATTGAAGTGCATGGATATGAACGGAAGATATTGAAACACTTGGATACGTTAGGGAAATGCATACAAATCAGATAAATACATTAATAGGTTATGTAAAGAGAAACATTGCAATCAACACCACCAAGAATCTAAAACATGTAAACATCATTCAATAATTATCATTTATAATTTTCAATTTTTATTAATTTTGTTGGGAAAACTTATTTTTTTTAGTATTTTATATAAATAACAAGTCTACTTTTTCAAATAATAAATATTTGTCATTTTTAACATATAATTTAGATGTAGATTAAAAATCACTTAAGGTAGATAAAATAAATTATTTTTATAACATATTGTTCTTATTAAATTTTTAGGAAAATTAAATATTCAGTTATTTACGTTAGTTTTTATAATTATAATTCTCAATTTTTATTAAAGTTCAAAAACAATCCAAAAGCGTTCAATATATAGTTCCATTAAACTAGGCACCAATATGCTTTCGTATTGGTATGTATCAAATTGTATCTATTGATATGACACGATATGGCTCGATATGGTGGTGTATCCTGCCGATACACATGACTCATGGGATATGTACCCAATCATGACATATCCTATATACATGGCTATGAATACAGACATGACACGCTCGACATTGGGAGTATTGTATCGATACTTTAAACCTTGGTAATACCATCTTCATCTTTTACTTTCGGCCTTCTCCCCCCTCCTTGTTAACTCTTCATCAACCTCCCTTCACTCTTCATCAATAATTTCTTCCCTCCTCCTTCCTTCCATACCTCACCCCCTTTCACAACTACCTTCTTTTTGTTATATTCTTCCCTTCTACTCTTTTCAAAGTGCTCAATTGCCTTTTTCACCACCCCTTCCCCCCTAGAAAGAAAAGGCTGAGAGACATCCCAATCACCACCTGTTTGTCCACTAGTTAATCAATACCCACTTTCCCCTTCTTAGTGTTATCTTCCCCTGTAGCCTCTTCAAATTCGAGTCCCACAGTCTCCTCTCTCCCCCCCCCCCCTCCATTTTTTCCTCTTTGTGCTCCTCCTACTCATCCATTTCTCTACTTTTAACCCCAACCCCTATAGCTCCCTTCTACTCTTGTGATTTGTCTATCAACATTCTCCATATTGTTTTAGGTATCCCTTACCTCTCTTCAAGATGTTCTTGCCCTTGACCTATCTATTCATCTTTGGCTAAATTATTAATTGATTAACCTCTCTACTATAGTGCGGTGAGATCCACTCTCGGTACTCATGGTTTTTGTCCTTGCTTCAAACCCCCCTTATAGCACTTCTTCTCCAACCTTTATGTTTCCAAGTTGTATCTCTTCCAAATGACATGAATTAGATGGAGAATCCCTTACCTTCCCTCCTTCTATAACCATAACTTTCCTACCATTTTCATACTTTGAAGTAACCTAGACCTTTTCATTCTTTGCTTCTTCTTCCTCCCTTCAATCTCTTCTGGTAAAATGGAGCCTCACCTCCTCCCCTCGACCACTCTACTCATCTTTGGCTAAATAATTAATCGATTGACCTCTCTACTCTATTGTGGTGAGATCCACTCTCAGTACTCATGGTTTTTGTCCTTGCTTTAAACCCCCCTAATAGCACTTCTTCTCCATCCTTTATCTTTCCAAGTTGTTGTAACTCTTCCAAACGACATGAATTAGATGGAGAATCCCTTATCTTCCCTCCTATAACCATAATTTTCCCGCCATTTTTATACTTTGAAATAACCCAGACCCTATCATTCTTTGCTTCTCCTTCCCCCTTCGATCTCTTCTGGTAAAATAGAGCTCCCCATTTCCAAAAATTCTCTTTTCCACTCAAAATCACCTTCTTCAGCTCCCTCCCCCACCCCTCCCCAAAAAAAAAAAAAACTTTATGCTTCACCAATTATTTGTCTTCCCTCAGATGACTCACTCATACCTACTCTGGCCACGTCTTCATCTTTTCCCATTAAGACTTCTGCCTCATCATATCCTTCTTTCAAGCATCCCTTCAACTTCCCACCCCCTTCCATCTCCTCCTCTATGCTACACCCAGATGATTCTTCGATTTCCTTCGCCCCAGCTCTTTCTTCGTCAAACACTTCATCTTCAACCTTTCTTCCTTCATTCAAAACTTCCAAATCCACCTTCACAAAGGTTCCATCACCTCCTTCAACTACTATTCTCAACTCATACCTCTCCCCTGCGAATTCAAGTTTCAGCTTGGTCAAAATTGCAGAGGCATCCATGACTTCAACTAAATTTTCCCACCATATCAAGCTTCTCCCAAGTTCTGCTTTTATCATCTAAATTCAAAAATCTGCCACAGCGCTTGGCCACTTGCCAATCTCCCCGAAGGTCAAAATGTTCCAAGCATGCAATGGGATGCCTACCACTCATTTTCTTTTGCTTGTTGATATCTCTCCAACCAGCGGGAACCACCAATCCAGCCTCAAGTCAAACTCTCCTCTTTAATTTTTCTGTTTCCTTAACCCACTCTGCAAACTGTCTATTGTGAAATCAATGAATGGCCCTCTTTCATTAAGAAAGCCCTGGATGTGTTGCATTCAATCATAAAAGCGTTGGAGAAACCCGACAATATTAAAGGAATATTTTTCTTTGTGTGGGGAAAAAACTTTGTAATGAGATTCTTCCAAAATTATTTGAGAGAGAGAGAGAGGTCTCATCAATATGTTAGAGATATAAAATTTTGGATCTCATCAATGGAAATGAAAAACAAGTGTTTTGTTTTTTAGTCGCTTATTCTTTTGGTAGTTGATTAATGGTAATCATTGAAGGTCTGATGCATTGGTGTTCTATGATTTCTTGAAAACTTGGAGGGACTGTATTATAAAATTCTTCGGGGGCTGTACTGTGATATCTCTAGTCTTTCGATGCTTGCCCTTCTAGATCAGCAAGTAGATATACTGGGGTTCTTTTGCTTTCTTTCTTTCTTTTTTGTGGTGGGGGGCAGTGGCCTCTTCTCACATTGTGGCTTCAGCTTTGCTGACAGCAAAACAGGAATAGTAGAATCTCTTGTTGGCCCAGTTCACTTGACAGGGTTGATTTTATTCTGTCAGATCTGAGATAAATAGAATAGAAAATCAAATTTGAAGCCTTAATTTCCATATATTCTTTTTATATACACATTTGCAAGCATACGTAGCCAAATTTTTTTTACTTGGTTCAAATGATGTTGATCTTTACCAAGCCTGAAGCATTCCATGCCAATAACAATCAAGGCCTAGCTAGTTTGATTGGCTTCCATCCAGGTCAAGTAATAGACTTCAACAGATTGGAATTTAATTACTAATACCCACATTACTTGCCTAAAAAAATAATTATCTCTATATGTATGGAATATGGATCATCACCATAATCTAAGTCTTATTCCCATTATATGCACGGATTTGGAAATCTATATGTATATGTATATATGCATGTGGCTGTAACATACATTTATGTATATACGGTAGGTTTATTTTATAGTTTTTATTCATATCTTCAGTATTTTCTAGTCGTCCATGTAGGACTTTACACGTTCTTAATGCTGTTCAATAATATAAAAAGTCATAACTCCGTGGTATTCTCGATTGATTCCTGTCCTGAGTTATTGTTGTCTTTTTTTCTTTTCAACTGTTTTTGTCCATTTCAGGTATCATATGGGTCTGAATTAAGTAACCGTGGACCAACCTTTGACATGGACTTATCTGATTTCATGGATGGTGATAATCCAATTTCATACGAAGAGGCAAACAAATACTTTGCCAAAGATCCTTCACAAAAGTGGGTCAATCTTCTTAATAGGAAATATGTTGCTTATTTGCAAATTTGTGACTACTAATTGTTGATATACTTTCTATTTTAGGTGGGCATCATATGTTGCTGGTACAATCCTTGTTTTAATGACTGAGTTGGGTATACGTTTCAATGACAGCATCAGCATACTGGTATGCTTGTCTAACATATTTATCTCTCACGCTTTTTGTCTGTTATTTTTCTGTTTCACTCAATTTAAGTTGACTTAATGGGAATTTAGCCTACAAGTTGTCATACACATCTGATCCTTGAAAAGTAATATTGCATATGGATTACTTAAAAAGCAATAGATTCCCAAGATTCCAGATAACCAGGACCAATATCACGAAATGGACTTTTCTTAAAGGATTTTTTTTCTTCTATTAAGTATATAATATTTTTTATCAGTATTAAGTATAACAACCAATGTTATACAATGGTATGTGGACATAATGAAGGTCATATAACAACCAATTTTGGATCACTTTAGGAAGAGACATCAGAGGTTCCAGTTATAATGGGACTTCACTAAGGCTGAGCAGTAAGTTCCTATTTGCTTGTATTTGTATTAGACATGGATGATTTTTTTTGGTAGGTGTCATGGATGAATTGACAAAACAAAACATATGCAATACAAATTTAGTAATAGTGGAAAGATTCACAAAGAAATTGGCTTTTTGGAAGAGAGGTTACATCTCCTTCAGTGGTACAATCATTTTGATTAAGTGGCCCTTTCCAATCTTCCTACCTACTTTTCTGTTTTTAAGGCCTTGATGTTGGTAGTTAAAAAGGATGGAAAAACAATCATGAGTGGTTTCTTGTGGGAATTGGGGATTCTAGAAAATATCATATTGTTAACTAGGATGTGGTTGGTAAAAGTGAGGAAGAAAGTAGGTTAGGGATTGTGAGGATCAATCTCAAAAACATCTCTCTTCTAGGGAAGTGGTTGTGGAGATACCCTGTAGACTTTGACAAACTTTGGCATGAGGTAATTAAGAGCATACACAGAGTCTCCCTGAATGATTGGGATTTGGGATGCTAGCTTAAATGCTAGATCCACTCTCTTTTCTCATTGGAAAGCCATCTCTGTTGTGCTTCTTTTTTTGCAATTTTTGAGGTATAATACTTGTAAAGGGCACACATTCTTTTATGTGAAGAGATTTGGTGGGGAGACATTCCTCTTAAAGATAAAGTCTTTCTCCACCTCAATGTAATAGAACATTGCTGTACTCACTTGGTTCAGGGGTTAGAGTGGGATTTAGGACTCAGAAGAGGGATAAGGGATTCTGAAATGCAAGAAGTATCTTTGGCCATAGAATTTTTTTGTCACTAAGAGATTTTATTAATATAATGAAAGAGTTTGGTATAACAGTTTAAAATTTTCCATACACCCAAGTAAAAAAAGTGTTCACACTAGTGCCCAAAATAGTTGATTTCTATTCACCCCTTGTTTTGCTATTGCATCCGCCATCACATTTGCAGTTCTTTTAACCCACATGTAGGAGGTGTTTAAATCCCTCAATAGGAAATTTATCTCCCTCAAATTATGTCACCAAGTGACACGGCATAAGCCTCTTTCCCCAGTGATGATCAACTTAGAATCCCCATTTACTTCCAGTTGGTTAAAGCCATATTATTTTGCTAATCACAGACCTTGCAGCAGGCCATTAATTCAGCTCTAGTCTCCCACTCCATAGGACCTGGAGGTACATGGCTACCACCCTTCCCGATGAATCTTTGAAGACCCCCCCCCCCAAGTTTAACTTTATCATGTTGCTTGGAGGAGACCTCCATTCCATGAAGAACCTATCTTTTTCTTTGGAGGATTGTCCCACTTCAGCCCACTTCCTTAATATATCATTCACTGTGAAATCTTGGAAAGTGTCCATAATTTTTACCCAATGTGCTACTTTAATCTTTATATATTCTACTATGTCCTCCTTGGATCTTCTTGTTTCATTGAAAATTCTCCCATTCTTTTTTCCCATATAGTCTACATCACTTCTGCTCTCACTGCCTTCCATATAATTCTTCTTCTTTTCTTCAGCTGGCTTAGGAAGTTTGGTTTAAAGAGATTTATCGCATCTTGTGGCTGGACCCACCTGCACCCAAATAGAGAACAAAAGTATTTCCGTACAAAAGGGCAGGAAAGTAGTAAATGGGAAAAAGGTCCACCACTAGCTTTGCAAAGGAAACGCAAATGGGGAGAGAGGCACATGTTTGGCTTTCTCTTTTGTAGCAAATCACAGGAATTTGTCTTTCCTAGGAAGATTTCCTAGCACAGGGCTGCACTTTGGGTGGATGCCCACTTAAGGGCAGACTTGTAATTTATGTTATCTTAGTAAGATTAATAAAGACTAGAGTGGAGAAAGAGGATGTTATCGAACTCCTTCTCTTCTCCCTTCTTCATTGTTCCTTCTTCTTCTTCTCTTCCTCTTCTGCTATAATCTGAAATATTTTTACTATTTTTTATTGGTCTGAATCATATCTGTTTTCATCCATGAATTTGCTGAAAGGGGTTTCTCTCTGAATCTGGTTCTTATAATTGGGTGTGGACCCTAAATCCCTAAACCCCCAAGCTTCCTACACGTGTGCCTCTTTCTTTCAAGCTTTAGATCACTTTCATTTCTCAATGAGCAGTGCCTGTAAGTCCATTTGGTCAGCTCCAAACTCCAGTTTCTCCCAAACCAGAGCATTTTTTTGGGGAGGTTTTTATTGGTAAAATTAACACTTTTGATATACTGCAAAAAAAAAAAATACATTGGTGTTGCCTCTCAACTCATGTTTGTGTTCTTTGATTAGAGAATGGGAGTTGCCCCATCACTTGATAATCCTCTGCAAGTATTTGGAGTTGTTTCTTTGTTTTGTTTTCCTATAGGTGGAATCTTCCATTGAGCTGGAAGGAATCTTTGGCCCAAGCTTCTATGATCCATCAAAGAAAAGAGGAAAGATTTTTTGGAGATGCATGAGGGCTGCTATCCTGGAGAGGAATAACAGAATATAAGATATTCAATGAATAAACAGAATGACCCCAAAACAATCATTCAGAATATCAAGTTCAAGATGGTTCACTGGGTCAAAACCTTTGAAACTTTCAAAGACTTCTTCTGATGATATCCTTCAAAATTGGCAGCAAATAGCAGTTTCTTCCTCATATTCAATGACAGCTTGGAGGTGCCTGTGGAGCCCACCACAACTTAATTGGATCAAATTGAACTTTTATGGGTGTAGTAGAGGCAATCTGGGTCCCTCAGCAGGTATTTTGTGAGATTTCAGAAATGAAGAGGGTCTATACTTGCAAAATATTCAGGTCCACTAAGCGAGGGTGACTCAATTACAGCAGAGATAATTGAAATCCTAACAGGGTTAAGTCAGGCCAAATCTGCCAACTTTAGAAATATTTTAATTGAAGTTGAAAAGTGGTAAGACAGGGGTATGGAGATTTAGATATGCTCTCAAAGAGATATAGATCCTGATTATTGAATTGGATTGCTCACTTACGTAGACTCTTAGATCTGCAAATGTGTTGGCTGATGGCCTAGCCAAGATTGGGGTTAATAGGAATGATCTATATTGGGGGGTGGTTATTCTGCTGTAATCTGCCTTATAATTATATTGTAATTATTGGCTAGCTAGCTGAGGCTAGCGTACTAGATCTTATGTTTGTAATATGCTTTTTTCATTAATGAAATCCACCTTCACTTGCTGATCAAAATAATAAGAGTGGAAATCAGAGAAAGGGGCACAAGCCAACAATGGCATGGGTTGTGGTGAGAAATGACTTAAGGGCCCATAATTTTAACAATGGACATGGCCTGTAAGGTACTCTCTTTTCTGAGATCTGTCTTTTCTCTAAGATGGTTTTTCTATAGCATAGATTTCAAGGCACCAAGGCAACCCTAGGCGACAGGAGAGCGGTTAGTCGCCTAGTCACTTAGACGCCTACCCAGGTGTTGCCTAGTGTTTCAAATGTAACCTTGCTTTTCCTAGTGTTTCAAGGTTTGTGTATCAGAAATAACCCTTCTCTTCCTAATGTTTCAAGGTTTGTTTCTAAAAAATAATCATCACCTAGGAAAATAAGGGGCTGAACCATTGTTTTTGTCATAGAAAAAAAGAAGAAAAATCATAAAAATAAGGAAAAGGAAGGGCAAAGCACCTGTTTTGTCTCAGAAAAGAGAAATAAAAAACCCTCAAAAATGATGAAGGAGAATAAGGGGTAAAGCCCCTGCTCTTGTCTCAAAAAAAGAAGGCAAGAAAAAAAGATAAAAAATGATGATGATGATCATGCCCCAAGGGAAAAGTTTCCCTTCCATGACTCCACGAGAGAGCCAAGGGAAAAGTTTCCCTTCCATGCCCCAAGAACAAGATCCTACAAGTATGAGGTACTTTTGGTTACTGACATATCTGCAGTGTCTTGACTCAGGTAAAACCTTCTAAAGGGGTTTCTAGTTTCCATAGAGATAAAGTTCTCAGATAAAATAAAATTCCAAAAAGTAAATAAATGTGCCAAGGGGGTGCTTGGCACACTTGCACTGTATTTCATTCTTTTGCACAAGTTAATAAAGAGCTATCTCAAGCCAATAGAAAAAAAATATTCCCTATAGAAACAAACAAGTTGACAAACTAAAAGCGTAGGAATTTGATTTCCTTTCCCCTGCATTCTGTAAGTAGTCATCTTGTGTTTCCAATGTAGCCCTAAAGTCTGCAGGTTCATCTCACTTTTCCTTTTAGTTTTTCTAAGTCAAGCTGTATCTACTACATTTTTAGCAAGCATTTGGACCTAATATGCTGTTTATCTATTCAATCTGTTTTATACTGGTTTTCCTAATTTTTGTAGTGTTAAGAACTGGTAATTATTAGATTACTGGTTTTGATTTGTTCACCCATCAAGAGTTCAAGACAATTATAGGTATATATATCATTATATCATTAATATTGTCATCTGTTTGATGTTAAATAATGAATTTTTAGGTATCCTCCGCAGTCCCAGAAGGAAAAGGTGTATCATCTTCTGCAGCAGTGGAGGTTGCTAGCATGTCTGCAATAGCTGCTGCTCATGGTTACTATATTTACCTTCTTATTTCTACCTGAAAATTTTGTTATCAATTTTATTTTTCTTGGGTTATATTTTATGTGGATTTGCAAGTTATACCCATTCTCAGCAGTTGATATTTCTTTCATAGTTCAATTAGAACTCAGCCTAGCACTTATGGAAATGCTAATCATGTTTCAATTTAGATTTTGTGGTAAAAAATCTCCTATTAAATCTGATCTCTAATTAATAGAATCATCTTTAATTTCCTAATACATCTTATTGTTAATATCAGTACCCTTATTCTCCTTCCCTTTTCCATCTAAAGGCAATTAAATCTCATTCTTTGTTCTAAAATATCAGCTTCATATCACAAGTGAAAAAAAGAACCAATCAGTAAACAAGTTGTCATTTTCACTAGTATATTACTGGTTTGTAAAAGTAGATTAGATTTAGCGCAAGAAGAGGATGTACAAAAAGAGAAAATTTATGAGGGAAAAGAAGAGGTGGTATGTTCAATGTTTTCAACCTGTCATTGACACAGGCGGTCGAACCGTTTGAACCGTCACCCGGTCAGGATTTTGAGTCTGGTTCTGTTACGACCCACTAGACGATCAAAAAACCGTTGACTTGGTCAAGAACCACTTGACCCAGCCGGTTCGACTGTTGACTCGTTTGACCCGGTGACCGGGTCACGGGTTTCACACTCAATGCATACAAGACTTTTGGAGGCCATAACTTTGCACTCTGATGTCCAATTGGGGTATTTTTTTATTTTGGGTAACTTTTCGAGATCTATGTGTCCCAAGGGGCCAAGGGTGCCTTGCCCCTCTATTTTTGCAAAAAAAAAAGCCTTTTTTGGCCTCCAATTGCAGCCTTTAATATTTTTATAAATAAAAAATTAAAAACTGAATTAAAAAACATATTTTAAATATAAAATAATACATATTAACATATCTAAAATATATTTATACATTATTTACTGCTAACATATATATTTATACACATATATATACATATAGACATATATGTATATATATAAATACATATGTGCTGACATGGCTGGTCTGAACTGTTCTGCTCAGCCGGTCGAACCAGTGACCTGCGACCCGGAGGCAAAAATGATTCGGCCTAGATACTATCAAAAGCTTTCAGTACAAGTTGAAGTAAGATATAATATATGCATTACAGATTTAGTGGAATCATTGTAATAATCATGGTGAAACCAAGCTTTTTGAGTTGGATATGTCTCAACCTAATCACTTCTAGTACATTGGATCAACCATGCATAAACAAGGAGAAATTTAAGGGGCATGGCATTACCCATAGAAGTAGGGCAGAGTGACTGAAGTGGAGGGGTTCATCTGGTTTGCTGTGTGATCGGAATAATACCTATGAGACTAAATATATGGAACAAAGAAGAATTATATGTTGCCTCAATTGATGACAAGATGAGGCAAAGTTAGCTGAAATTGTTTTTGTCATGTGCATAGATGACCAAAGACAGCCCCAATTAGATGGAGCAACTTGGTGCAAGTAAAATACTCTATAAGTGCACATGGGCTGGTATTAGAAATGACACATAAGAATTTATAATTTGATGACAAGATGAGGAAAAGTCAGCTGAAATTGTTTGTCATGTGCATAGATGACCAATTACAGCCCCAATTAGATGGAGCAACTTGGTGCAAGTAAAACACTCTATAAGTGCACATGGGCTGGTATTAGAAATGACACATAAGAATTTATAATTTGACAGAAATATGGTTCTTGATAGAGCAGAATGATGGTATAGGATTCATGTAACTGACCCCAAATAGTTGGGTTTAAATCTGAACCAAGTTGGCTTGAGATTAATCTAGCTTTGCAATCTGAAAATTCCAGTCCAAGGAAACTTACAAAATTCAGGTTACATCTAGAATCTAAGAATTTTACTGTCCCAGCATGTGGTATTTGGACTATCTTTAAGAATAATCAGCAGTTTTAAAACAATGAGGGTGAGAGAGTTACCTTTTGGCTTTGCAATTATCATGGATATAGTTGTTGTTTAAGGAAGATTTGGCGATACTTATTCTGCCACATAGTATGACTGTTCAAGCATTCTATGTAATATGAGTATTGAACTAAACATGATTTTACATCAAGAGAACATCCATTAAGATATTTTGGACCCTAATGGATTAAAGACTCATTCCTGTTCCCTTGGCAAACAGTTTCATTCATCATTTTATTTGTTGTTGATAAACTTCACTTATTATGGAATTGAACCATTAAGTATCTAGATCCTCCAGTTTATATATGTTTATCTTGTCATACCCTTCTAAAGAAATTATTAGATATTATAAGGCCTCATTCTATTATTTAAATCCCTATTTATTTTGTAGTTTGCGTTGTAAATCATGTTATGTTAATGTTCTTGTCATCCTCTGCATCATGCCACTTAGACCGAGTTTAAATTTGATATTTAATGAGATAATTCAAAACGTTGCACCCTAGAACAATGTTATTGTTGCTATAAATGTTGTTGGTTTACAAACTCTTCTATGCAGAATTTATATGGATCATATTCACGATTATTTTCAAGGAAAATAATCCTTGAAACTGAGTTGACCTAATTATGATATGATTCAATATTTGGAGCTTGACTCTGGAAATGTCTGCAAGTTTTGAAGATGGCTTTATGATCAGATAGGGAATTATGTTGGCATTATAAATTCTCGACTTATTTCATACCTAAGGGGCACAAAATATTTTGTAGATGCCATGGCTAAAATTAGTATTGGTACAAATTTGAAAGTGTAACTAATTTAGCATATAAATTGAAAAGATACCTGTATAATCAGCTAATGTGGAATTCTAGGAATTCTATATGCAAACATGTGAAATCCATATTAACAACCTCATGATGTACTATTTTACAGAAGAAAAATGAGTTTGCCCATTCTTTTCTTGCAGGACTGGACATCAACCCAAGAGATCTTGCTTTGCTTTGTCAAAAGGCATGGCCATATGCACTGCCTTTTAGTTATGCTCTTTTACATTTTGAAAAGAAAAAGATGGCTACATGTATAAGATTGTCCATACTTATGATAATAAACATTTGACAGGTTGAGAATCATATTGTTGGAGCTCCATGTGGTGTGATGGACCAGATGACATCAGCATGTGGTGAAGCTAACAAACTTCTTGCAATGATATGCCAGGTATGCATTTTTAGTGTGCAAAAAGAAGTTGTTTTACATGTTTTCTAGCTTCATAGTTTTCTTTGATCCTCTGCAGCCTGCTGAAGTAATAGGACTTGTGAACATCCCCACTCATATAAGATTCTGGGGTATTGATTCAGGAATAAGACACAGGTATTAGCTCATCATATGGTGCTTTTTTATCACAATCTTCCATTGTTGGAAATCATAGATTAAGTATAAACCTCATGGGAAAACTTTTTTTTATCTCATCCTCTATTGAGAGATTTGTTACATCATTCTTTTTCTTCTCTCGTGGCATTGTCCCTCCCTGCTCTGAAGCTTTGTTCATTAAGTGTTTTTCTATGCCTCTATTTTATTTCATAAGCAGAAGTTACATGGGCTTTGGTTTTACTACTACTAAAAGAACTTAACTAAGAATCATTGTGACTAATTGGGGTTTCATGTCTTTAAAGGTTAGACCGGTGTTTTTGTATGAATTTCCAACCTGAAAGAACTCTCATCCTTTATCTGGGCTTGGGACAAAGGCTAGTACAATGACAATAGATTCACCAATTTTAAAAAAATTAATAATGAAAAAATTATGACAGTAGTCATTTATCAAAAAAAATTATGACAGTAGTTATTCACCAATTTTAATAAAATTCTTCTGTTATTACCAAAAAATGACCATAGTTACAACTTACAAATAGTCTCCCTTTTTTATTTTTATTTTAATATTATTTTCATGGACTTTATCCCCACATAGACATATTCTTCACATTAGGGTTGCCACAGGTAAAGCTTAGACTAGAGGTAGCAGAGAGCTGGATGGTTGAGAGATGGAAGGTTTTCAGTTTCGTAGGGATTCAAAGGCCATGGAGTGGTGTATTTGTCTCTTATTTTGTAGTGAAAAGGTCAAGGCCAATATTATGATCCTTAAAATATATGTGGGTTGAACCCCATTATAGATGTTTTGAGCTTCTCGTTGGGGTTGGAATAGCTCTCTATTTAAGGCTATTGGAGGCATGTAGGGATTTCATTTATATGGTTTAATGGTGTGTGACATAGGATAAACTAGTCTTTTTCTTACAGATATAGATCAATGGTGTGCCTTTTTTTCTTCTTTTTTTTGGGTGGGGGTGGGAGATTGGAATTGGCAACTGTTAAATTTTGTACAGTCCCTGAAAGCAACACACCATAATTGGCAAGTGTTATATATGTAGCCAATCCCATATAGTTGTAATAAACTTGGATAACGATGATAATGGTGATGATTTGCAACTGTTAAATTTTATTAATATTATGAAAAAGAAAGATGGATGCTTCATCCCTAGAATGTAGACTAGCAGCAGCTTCTACCTAGCCTCTTAACAGTAAGCAACTACATTCATATATTGAGCAGTTTCCCTTGGAACAACTGATCCTTGTTCACACCTTGTTTGTCCATTGCATCAACTGAACTATTTTCTGAGCTTTGCACCCATGAAATTGTTGTTTCCATTTCCATGCCTAAGGATCTTATCTCTCGCAGTATGTTGGTACTGCCATGACCCTTGATTTTTGTTGTTAATTAGTATCACAACCATCTAGAGTCCCCTTCCACCATTATGTTTCTCAAACTAATATATTTTCACAGCTTAACAAGCCCTTCCTGTTGGCCCTGAGTATATATATAGCTAACATGACCCTATAGCAATCCTAAACACACCACCTATGATTGAAGGTCTAGGGGTGAGGTTTGTTGTAAAACATTTTCGACATCTTGTGCTTAGGAATTTTGGGTGTTTGTGAATCCTTGATCAACTAAAGAGAGAACATTATTTTCCTGAGGATCTAGGGGTGAGGTTGTGAAAATTTGGGTGTTTTGACTCCTAGATCCTCTGTTGGCCATTGTGCATCTAGGTTTGATGAGGTTGTGAGCAGTTCTTCGCTCCAACTAAAGAGAGAACATTATTTTCCTGAGGATCTAGGTGTAACCATGTTAGCTTTTTGTCTTAGGGTGCTCTCTTCTGTTGTTTCTGCTGCGTGTCTCAAACATCTTAGGCTATGTGTGTGTGTGTTTGGAATGGTATGAGGCCAAGAAAGGGGAAGACTCTGGAGGAGAGTGTTTTACTCAAGAATTTAAGATCATCAGGTTGGTGCACTTAAATTTTTGGAGGGTTGTGAGGCATCAATTATGTCTATTGATGAGATGGTGACCTAAGCCAGATGAATTGGTTTCTTCATGGGGGGCGGGGGGGATATAAGAGGTGGAAGATTGGATTAAGAGGGGCTTCCTAGGGATGGATGGGGTGGAAAAAAGCTTAATTTCCTGTCTATTCTTTGGGAGAATTAATTGTCTCGTGATCTTCTATGCATATTGTTAGTCTGGGTAAGAACTACTTTGGCCTGGAATTTATGGATGGGCATTTGGTTTCTTGGGGGTATTTGGTTTCATGGACTTAATTTTACTATTTATATATTTTTTCCATGAGATTTACTGCTCATTCATGTTAACCTACTCCACTCTTGTTTTGATATTTAATGTTACATACCAACAAAAAATAACTCTTATTGTTCCTTCAACTATTATTTGTTCTAGTTTGTTGTTCTTTATTGTGTTGAATTTTGCTAGGTTTGTCTTGAAAAGCATATTTGATTTTTGATTCTGTTCCCATGTCCATGCCATCCTGATAACAAGTGTAAGATGTGGGCACAGAATCTGAATCTGATCTCAGATTCCAGCAAATAGATACTAGTATGACTTTTAAATGCCATAAGGCCTATTTTGTTAGGTTGACTTTTGTCCTGAATTTGTATTATTCTATATCATTGATCCTTCTTTTATTCCAGCTTAATTATTTGATTGGCATTATTTGCAGTATTGGTGGCACAGACTATGGATCTGTGAGAATTGGCACCTTCATGGGTCGAAAGATGATAAAATCTATTGCATCTTCACTGTTATCCCACGCATTATCAAGTGCTAATTCTCAGAAGCATATGGATGGGATAATTTCTGATGACTTGGAAGAGGACGATGGTGAACTTCTTGAAGATGAATCTTCATTAGACTACTTGTGCAACCTGTCTCCTCACAGGTTTTCACAAAGTTCTTCTGGCATATTTAGAAAGTCCTAGATTGGCATCAAACAGATTAATAGATCATGCATTATATTTTTATATGTTTTGCTTTTGTTTATATTTTTACTGTTTTGTGTAAAAACAGTACGAGTCAGTCATATCATTCCTGTTTGTATATGGTTGAGATTCAGACATATCATGTTATTATTTAATAAGGTAGGATACTTTTCTGATTTCTTTATCTCCTAACACAGATATGAGTCAGTCTATGCAAAGAGACTTCCTGAGTCTATGCTTGGTGGGGCATTCCTAGAGAAGTACACTGATCACAATGATTCAGTAACAGTGATTGACCATAAGCACAACTATGGAGTGAAAGCAGCTGCTCAACATCCTATATATGAAAATTTCCGTGTCAAGGTTAGTTATTATTGCTTTGTTTCTTACTTTCTTCCTCTTGGTGTATGTGAAAAGCTGAGTTTTTTCAGGACCCTGAATTAGACATATAATTGGAAGAGGGGATGAGGAAACTAGCAAGTATACCTACACTTTTAAGAACATTTGGAGAATAGATAGAAAACCTTTTCATCTATTTCAGACTAAGAGTTGGTTAGAGAATTTCAACTCCTTTCAAACATGTTGTCGTCAAGATTAAATATTTTGACACCATCTTTAGTTGAGTCAAAAGAAATGAAAAGATAATTAGAGTTGGTGGAGGAAAGAGGTAGTAATGCTTGTATCCTTTTTTGTTCTATGATAAAGTTGCAAGGGTGTATTTATCTGCACATTGCGTATTAAGCACTGGTGCTGATATTCTCAGAAAACCATTTAATTAATTATTTGAACATAAAAATTGGCATTCCAGAATGCAACCAACATTTTGGCATGGACCTTTCCACAACTGTTATTACCCCAATACAAGGCTTAATGGAGAATAGGTTTGTAGAAGTTGCAAGATGGAGGAAAGCAATGAAGATTGAAGCAAAAGACCTCATCCTTGAAGAGTTGAAAATCAGAGGCTTGCAGAGCTTGAAGATTAGGGAGGCAAAGAAAACTACAATACTGTTGGAAGGTTTGTAAGTGATCGAATGGGTGAAGAAGTTTTTTTCAGGAGCAAGTTCTAGAGGTAAACAAGTGAGCTTTAATGCAAAGGAATAGGGAGTATTTTGGAATGGGGAGCATTTTGGAAGAATAGAAGAATTGAAATCCTCTTTGATGACCCAAATAGAGGAATTAGATGCAAAGGAATCCCAAAGGGTCATAAACTCTTAAGATAGAGATCGGAGATGGAAACTAAAAAGAGAGTTTGATGAAGTCATTTTGAGAGAAGAAATTTCTTGGAGACAGAAGTCTAGATGCAGGTGGCTCAAGGAAGGAGATGGGAACACTAAATTTTTTCATGAAATAGCCAATGGAAGGAGAAGGAAAAACCTAGTTTCCAAACTGGAAGTGGATGGACTAGTCCTTGATTCCCAAGAGAGGATAGCCAATTGTTTTGTTGACCATTTCAAATCCATATTAAGGA